GCTGGAGATAAGAATTTTTTCTGCACAACGTTGCCATTGCTCGCTTTGAAATCCTTGAGTTTGTTAATCAAAAATTCGTCAAAGTTTTAAAAAAATAGGAAATCGATCATAAAACAAATTTCAAATTTCAAATTTGGTCTTCCACATGCTCATATCGTTGGAGGATTACGTTATTCAAAATTCGATGACTCTATGTACCGTTGTTTTATCACAATACGAGAAATATACATACATTTATGCAGATTTTTCATTATTTAATTTCTTCAAATATAAGCAGGACTCTAACATTTGTTGGCAACAGTTTGAAAAGTGAACCGACATTTATGAGTCCGACGCAAAATGCCAAAACGAAACTAATAGTCCTTCGGGATTCAAATCCCTTTGGACTAAAAATCTGAAAGCTTTCAGATTTTACATTACGCTCAAAGGGGAGTTTTTTTAATCTTTTGTGTGTTACTTTTATTTATTAAATAGCACGTTCTTCGCACTTAAACCATAAAATTCAGTTCAACAGCAATATCGCAAAAATAATTTTAAATCGGGCATATATTTAGCTGGAGATAAATTTATTTTCCCGTAGAATGTTCCCATTGCTCGTTTTGAAATCGTGGAGTTTGTTAATCAAAAATTCGTTAAAGTGCTATAATTTAAAATAATTTTTAAATGAGCATAACTTTAGAATTCCCGATACACAGTCTCGTGCATTGGAGATAATCCCCCCGCTGTACAGTGTTGCCTTTCCTCGCTTTGAAATCGTTGAGTTTCTTAATCAAAAATTCTTTAATCTCTGACAAAATACGAAATAGATAATAAAACAAATTCCAAATTACGGTTTCTAGATGCCCATATTTTGCTGGAGGATTACGTTATTCAAAATTCGATGGCTCTAGGGTACCGTTGTTTAATCACAGTGCGAAAATGATACACTTAATTTCTTTAAATATAATACAGGGCTCTAATAGTTGGTGGCAACAGTTTGAAAAGAGAATAACGCAGAAAACGAATCGAAACAAAATGCGAAAACGAAATTAATAGTTTTTCTGGGCTAACGCCCTTTGACCTAATAATGTACGAAGAATCATTCTTTAAAAAAATTTTTAATTTGCACTTACATTAAAATCCTCCGGAAAAAAGTTTTATTTATTCATGGCGGAGAGCTAAAAAACATATGATCGTTTTCAATTTTGTATTAAATGTTTACAATTAAAATTCTTTTGACTTAAAATATGGAATACCGTACCTTCTTTTAAAAATTAATATTATAAGCAAATTTAAAGTATAATGATAAAATTAAATATGAATAATAGCAGTAGTGTACTAAGTCATCTTCCGATTATTCGAAAGTGGATTAACAAAACACTGGCTGAAAAATTAAGTTCGTTAATTGGGAAATGATGGAAAAATTACTGTCACAAACCGTAACTTTAACCAAAAACTTTAAGCAAAATTGTCTACAGAAATAGAAGAGAAAAATGCGAGGGCTAATACTAGCAATGACAGCAGATGATGATATGAGTTGTTTTTATCCACAAAAATATTTAACTGTATGGAATCCGGAATATACAAACTTTGCTAAATCATGTATAACTTGCTCAGAAGTAAAAAACTAGGAGTGTAATCTTGATATCTTAAGCATTAATTACAGCCATTTTTAATTAAGTCTGTTAAATTTTAATAATGTTTACTCTTCCATTATTTATTTTGTGCTCTTTTATTTTAAATGCTGATTTAATTTATCTAATTAAACGAGCTTAGTTAACTCTTCAAGGCATAAAATAAAAGAATGCGACATCAGATTCGTTGGATATTTTGTACAGTGGCTCACATTTCTTTTCGGACATTTGCATTGTTAAAATTTATTTGCATTTTTAATCCAAAGAGGTAATTTGCCCAAAAGGACTAGTAATTTCGTTTTGGCATTTTCCGTCGATTCACTATAAACGTTGATTCACTTTTCAAATTGTTGCCACCCAATATTATCACCCTGTATTATATTTAAAGAAATTAAATCATGAAGAATCGCCATAAATGTACACATGTTTCTCGCATTGTGATAAAACGACGGTACCTAGAGACATCAAATTTTGAATAAAGAACATTTCCACACGAAAATGGGCATCTGGAAGCCCAAATTTGGAATTTGCTTTATTACCTATTTCATATTTTGTAAAACTTTAACGAATTTTTGATTAATTCAGAAGTCAAACAACAAAAATCAGCGTTATATTTTCAAATTTTCACAGGACTAATTTCGATGGTTTAACCGAACCAGCATCCTCAGCTGCAAAAACGCAAATGAACGAGATAAAGTACAATGATTAGATAAGATAAGAAAGCCTGGACAAGATACAAGCCACTGGCGCCATCTGTTGATGAAACCAGGTCTAAAACATAATTTCTTTAAAGGCTGAAGGCAAAGATAGATTGGAATTAGGGTTGTTAACTAAAACAGAAAGATTTTTTTTCAATGTGATATGCCTCTAGAAAATCCAGTTCACCAATGGAAGATCTTTTTTGAATAATTTTGGCAGCAGAAAAATTGAAAGTGTGATTTTCGGGCCAACAAAAATGTTAGGCAACAGAAGACTTCTGTTTCCTTTTTTCTAACTTATGCCTCATGTTCCTTAACGCGAAATTTTAAGGCTCTCTTAGTTTGGACAATGTAAATTAAACCACACAGGCAAGGAATTCTGTAAATACCCCATGAATTCATATCCGTAATGGGGGTCCTCGAGTATGGAACTCGGAATTTTATTAATGGGAGAATAAACGACCCGAAAGTTAAATTTCTGCAAAATACGTGCAACTCTATAGCTAATTGATGGAAAGAAGGGGATTTTTGATTAACAAATTTAACGCTTTAAAGGCGTGCAATGGGCAACACTATACGGGGGGGGGAAATCTCTAGAGCGCGAGACTGTGTATCGGAAATTCTAAAGATATGCTCATTTTAAAATTATTTTGCAATATTGCTGGTGAATTGAATTTTAAGGTTTAAATTTTATTAAATGATATTTTTTAAATGCGAAGAACATAATATTTAATAAATAAAAGTAACACACAAAACGTTAACTAAAAAGCCCCTTTGGGCGTAATGTAAGATCTGAAGGCTTTCAGATTTTGTTTTTATTTGCATATATATATTGTATTAATATTGAAACAATTTTCTTTCTCCTGATATCTTATATTTTCCCTATTTTAAGCCTTGCTTGCTGCAAAATAAATATCATCAATTCAAAAAGTGTTAATCAGCAACTCCGTATCTTATGTTAACCTATTAATATGAGCTAATTCATTCATGCAGATTCTTCATTATGTTTAATTTTTCTTTAAATATAACACAGAAGCTATGTGATCTTTATTTATCTCATTTTACGTTAGTGTTAATGTTTATTATTTAGATTTATATTTCTAGAAACGGGAAACATGGCATTTCTTCGAAAGCTCTGTTGAAAGCAATTCTTACGGAGAAATTGAATGAAATTGAACATTATTACTCGAAAAAATTCGTTAAATCCTTTCCAAAGCGTGCGAAAAAGGTAATTTTAACTAGAGGATATCTACTGGAGTATTGGATGTCCCGCTACTTTGATGTTTTTATTACACATAAACTGATTGAAACAAGTTCAATTTCAGCACATTTTAAATAAAACATTTTTTTCTCCCTCGAAAACATTTCGAATAACTTTTCGAAAACAAGCAGATTTTAAAAAAGATAATAAATAGTACACGGAGGAAGGAAACAAGGAAACAATAGCATACTAAAAAGCACAAGTGTCGGAAAATAAATGTGAGCCACTGTACATGGAGTATGTTACTAAAAGAGTAAGTGAACATGATATTCCTTCGAAAGCTCTATTAAAAAGCTATTCTTTCGGAGAAATGGAATATTCTTGCTACAAAAAATCAGTTAAATCCATGCCAAAGTGCATAAAAAATGCAATTTTAGGTAAAGAATACCTACCGAAGTATTTGATGTCTGTTATGTTCCTATTTTTATTAAATATAAACTACTTGCTCAAAATGTACGAATAATTATATGAGTTAATTTTCTGGATTATTTGAATAAATTATTTTTTTACTAAAAATATACCTGTAAAAAAAGTTACTTTGCTAATACCAAGTAATTGATATTTACAAATAAAACTGAAAAACATTAGTTTCCAAAAACAAAAATGAGCCACTCTATGTAAGAAGTGAGTTAAGAAAAGAACAAGTAAACATATTTCTTCGAAAGTTCTATTAAAAGCAGTTCTCACAGAGAAATGGAACGTTCTTGCTCGAAAAAAATTCGTTAAATCCATACCATAGCGCATGAAAAGTGCAATTTCAGCTAAAGGATAGCTAATGAAGTATTGGATGTCTCTTTATTTTCCTATTTTTACGAAATATAAATTGTTTGTTCAAAGTGCTCTAATATTTATGAGTTCTGTCTTGATTAATGAGTTCACTTTTTGAATAAATCATTTTTTTTTTTTTTTTTTTACTAAAGGCGTTTCGAATAACTTTTTCGAAATCAAGCAGGCTTTAAAAAAATTATCAGTACTATAGGTGGGGAAAAAAGTATTTCGCTAATATTGCTAATTAATATTTGCAAATAAAACTGAAAAATATCAGTCTCCAAACACATAGCAGGAAGAAATGAGATATGTTTCTTATTAACCATAAAGAAAGCCGGACGAAACGACCTGTACTGAGTAAATAAATATTATTCAATAATTTAAATAATTTAACCATCAACTTTTTTTTAATAAGTTCAACACAATCTTATTGTACTTCTTAACATAATAAAAATGCGCCATTCTTTCTCTCACATTTGCATATAACATGTTTTACAGATTTTTAAAACAAAACGGATCCTATTGTACAAAGTTATACTGATCTTCCTTAAAAAAAGAGGGAAAAAAAGATTAGTTATCATAATCGTTCAGTAATAATTTGCAAAAACAGAATCTTCTGTCATAAATTTATGAAAATCCGAATTTTTCTCTAATACTAACCTTATACGAGTTCCTTCCAGATAACAGAATCGTCTTCGAAATTAAATATTTTCTATTTTATATTCTTGCCACACATGCAGCCATCTATGGTAAAAATAAAAAATAATTTTATGCGATATTCTTTAAAGTTTCTTAGAACTTTCTTTCCTCCGGTTTGAAATTTGGCGAATCTTTTTTGACATTCGAAAAATACACTATATTTTTTCCGCCAAATACGGCAACCATTCAAATTGGCAATATGCCAGCATCGATTACCGCCGCTTTAAGAGAGTATCCTGTTCCAAGAAGAAACACGTTTATATCACTAAATGGATGGAATCGTTAGCTTTACAAAGTTAGTTAACCAATAAAAATAGTTTCAATTTTCATACATGAATAAAGATAAAAAAGAAAATAATAACTTACAAAACCTGAATACACAATAAGAAGTTTTCTTCCACTGTGCGTCCAACTGGTAATGCTATCTGTTTTGATTCTACCTAATCTGACAGGGAAATAAACCGCGCATTCAACCATGGTAGGGGAAAAAAAAAAAGGAAAACTTCTTGGCGAGTTTGTCCTGTTGCAGAATTGTTAATTCTAATTTTAGTTTTCAAAAATTTGAAGCTCATATATAGTCTCGCGTATATAGGCCACAAATCCCCCCCTTTTTTTTCTTTTATATGAAACTTTTCAGATTTTACACGCCCAAAGTTTTTTTTATTTTATTTATTTTTTATTTATTTATTTATTTATTTTTTACGTTTTATGTGTTACCTTTATTTATTAAACATCGTGTTCTTCGCATTTAAACCATACAATTCAATTCAACAGTAATATCGCAAAATAACTTAAAAAGAGCACATGTTTAGAATTTCCGATACACAGTCCCCCCGCACTGGAGATTAT